CCCCCCCCTTTCCAATGATCTAAATTATATCGATGGGGGCATAACAGAATCGACAATTTATTACATTTTTTTTCTTAAAAAACCCCCCAAAAGTTTTGAGTATTGCACAAACAATCGCTACAACTATGAGTATGAGCTACACACTGAAATAGGACCATGAATAGCAATCTGCCAACTAAACAATCCAAATTATATCATATGTGGGTGTAAAAAAAAAAGAAATAATCCCAGCAATCTCTCTCTCTCTCTCTCTCTCTCTCTCTCTAAAAGTGGAAAAAAGCAAACAAGTTCAACAGTACAAATATCTAGGATAGAATACATCATTATATCCGATGTCAAATGTTTCACAAAAATAAAACTCATGTTAACAGTAACACATTAAATGAACCTCCTAGCATGTACCGTATATATATGATAACAGAAACAATGTAGAATGAACCTCTGGGCATGTACGAGTATAGGCCTACATGTTAACAAAAACAATGTTGATTGAACTCATGTTAACAGTAACAATTAAAATGAACCTTACAATGTTGTATGAACTTATTATGTTAAGAGTAACAACGTTAAAATGAACCATATTATTGACTTGGAGACCAACTGGAAAAGTAAAGAAGTAGAAGAGGTAGACCAACTGAAAATTACAGAAGCACTGTCAAGGATGGGACAATTATCCAGGGCCTAGATGTGCCAAGATTGGCGGAAGTGACCAAGGGCAGACGAGCATGGCGTCGACTGTTCTCTGTTTGTTTTGTTTTGTTTTGTAAAGTGTTTTACAGCGCTCGCAACTGACTACCTTATGCACTTCACAGTTAAGGGAGAAAGTAAGTGGGTATGTAGCCTATGTTAACAATAAAATTGCAGTATGTTAACTATAACGATGCTGTGATTGAACCTCTATTCATGCATGTTAATAGAAACAATGTTTAAATGAACCTTTGAGGATATATGTCAATAGTAGAGTGTCCTCCTGTTACAACGAGAGGGAGGGGACTGCCGCGAAAAATTCGTTATAGCAGGATTCACGTTATAAGGGATCCAGTAATAAATTCGTCACACATTCGCTTCATCCATCACAGCACTGTGACCTCTCTATCCCCGCATCGGAGAAGTCAGAGGCATGGTGCGCCTAGATAATCTAGACTAGACTGGCCTATCACGCGCTGCATTCTGCTTGTCTGCGCATGCCACATCCTCCCCATTCATTCGCTCCGGCGTTCATTGTTGGCACACATGGGCTCTCCCATTCTTTGTTTCACTCGTAGAGATCACCAACAAGTTTCTCAATTGGAGAGGTTTTACATGTATTGGCCTATGCGCTGTGCACAGCAGCAGCAATATTACGCTATAACTGACTCGCGTGTTTGTTTGATTGCGGATGTATAGGAATATTTTATTTACAAAGACAGAGAAGGAAAAAAAAGGGGTTTCAGAATTGTTTCTTTACAACGGACTTCTCGTTATTTCAGGACTCGTTAAAAGTGGACTCCACTGTAAAAATGTTGAATGAGTCTCTGAGCTTGTATGTAAACAGTAACATTTTGAGTAAGGCAAATGCACATGCGCGTTGACAAGTAACAATGACAAATTAACTTTTTTACATGTGTGTTAACAGTAACAATGTTGTCGAGTGAGTCGCTGTGTATGCATGTTGACAGTAAAAATGTTGAATGAACTTCCGAGTATGTATGTTAACAGTAACAATTAACAGTAACAATGTTGAATGAACTTCCGAGTATGTATGTTAACAGTAACAATTAACAGTAACAATGTTGAATGAACTTCTGAGTATGTATGTTAACAGTAACAATGTTGTATGTATGTTAACAGTAACAATGTTGAATGAACCTCTGTATGTTAACAGTAACAATGTTGAATGAACCTCTGTATGTTAACAGTAACAATGTTGAATGAACCTCTGTATGAATGTTAACAGTAACAATTTTGAGTATGGCAAATGCGCATGCATCTTGACAGTAACAACGTAGTTTGAACGTCTGTCATGTGTTTTGATATTTGCTCTTTGAACCTCTGAGCATGTATGTTAACAGTAACAATGTTAAGCATGCCATCACACATCCGTATTGACAGTAACAATTTTGGCTATTTTTGAAAATTGAATTATTTTTTTTAGCTCAACATCTTTTATGTCCACTCCAGAACAGATTTCGGGGTGGATTTTACTGAAAAACATTGATTAAAGGCACAAAAAAAATGTAGGTTTTCGGTTACCAAAGGCTCTCAAGCTATGGAAATAACCAAACTTTGGCGGCCATTTCCTCGCTAATTTAACCTCTGAAACAAGGCGACCGCCACCTCCTTCAATTGCAAATATCTTGACTTCTATGCAAGATAAATGGGTATTCTTTTCATCGAAGGCAAGACAAATGAACTAGTTTTAAGATTATACCAATAACTCCACATGCCCAAAAATTGAGCGCCTGATAACACGGCGTCATGACATATATATATATATAATATATATATATGGTCGCTATTAAGGACAAGTGGGCTAACCCAGATTTCGGGTGTTTCCAGAAATCTTGACCTACACCAAAAGTGGGCATTGCCCTTCCTACCTATAGGAGAAGTTTGGTTCCATTGGTGTGCATATTTGTTTGAAAACTCTCCTTGTCTTTCAAGAAACTGAACAAGGGTCTAAAAACTTTACCTTCAATTTTCTCAAAAAAGAATTTTTCGGGATAGCCCCGATGTGCTTAAAAGCAACCGTGTGTTAACAGTAACAATGCTAAGAATGGCACAAAACATCCGTAAAATATTCACAGTAATTAAGTTGAATGAACCTCTGTGCATGCGTGGCGATAGCCCCGATGTGCTTAAAAGCAACCATATATGTTAACAGTAACAATGGTAAGAATGGCACAAAACATCCGTAAAATATTCACAGTAACAAAGTTGAATGAACCTCTGTGCATGCGTGGTGACAGTTACGCTGTGTCAGAGCACGGGCTGGGAAACATCAGTTTTCCGACACCGGGTCGAGATATGACGCAGGGGCCAACCCAACTCTCCCGTCAGACGTACGTACTTTGGTCCAGCCATCCCCTGTGTCCGCCTCCACTTCCTCCACCTCCTCTCCTTCCTCAATGGACACCATCATCTCCTCTGTGCCTGAGGAGGAAAAAAAAGGAAATAAATGAATAAGTGAAAAAATAAACATAAATAAATGAATAAGTGAAAAAAAATAAACATAAATATATGAGTGAGTGAAAAAATAAATATAAATTAATAAATTAATGAATAAAGAAATAAATAAAGAAATAGGCTAAATAAACTATAAAATAAACTTAGATAGCTAAATAAATAAATAGATAAATACATTTGTTTGTTTGAGTGAAGAGAAGACGATTGACACAGTAACATATATATTGTTGGGAAAAAGTCAGACAGACAGATAGACAGATCGATACAACAGAGGGAAAATAAAGAAGTAAGACCTACCATTAGCACCCTCCAACCACCCACAGATAAATAAACAGACAGGTAGATAAACAAATAAATAAACAAATAAATTAATATAAAACAAACATACACACACACACAAACACACACACACACAGTGCGATGACCCACCTTCAAATTTGTACAACACTGTGAGTCTCCGAGCTTGAGCTGATGTTTCAGAACAAGAGATTTGAGACTCGGAGATGCTGCATGAGGATACACATGGATAGCATAGTTATTATATAATAATTCTAGTGATAGGTACATTTTGTCAGCTTTTTAGTTTTAGTAAGTGTTTTACAGCACTTGCAACACAATAAGGTCATACAGGTGCCGAAGATTAGAGGTGTTACAAGAGAGTAACAAACGTAAAAAAGAAGAAAGGGAGATAAGGACGATAGACGTTTGAAAGGAAAGAAGAAGCAAACCACACCAGAGCACCCGTCAACCACCCACTAACATGGATAGTATAGTTTTATTTTGTATAGTGATATATATATATATTTTGCCAGCTTTTTAGTTTAGTAAGTGTTTTACAGCACTTGCAACACAATAAGGTCATAATATTATATAAGTGCCGAAGATTAGAGGTGTTACGAGAGAGTAACAAACACAAAAAAGGAGGAGAGATGAGGACAATAGATATTTGATAGGAAAGAAGAAGCAAACCACACCAGAGCACCCGCCAACCACCGACAGCTTTAATTTTCTTTTCATATTGAATTCTAATAAGAATAATAGATTATAATTAAAAATGTTCTGTACACCTGCATGTGTTTTTACCGTCCTGTACAGCCAAAAAAAGTTTCCCTCTGGGATAATAAAGTATTATCTGATCTTATCTTATCCTTATTTCTCGTAAGAGTTTTACGGCACTTACGACACAAAAATAGGTCATATAAATACAGACCAATGGAAGTGTTACTAGACAGTAACATGCACAGAAAAGAAGAATGAGAGATAATAATAATAATATGGACAATAGATATTTGATAGGAAAGAAGGAGCTAATCCCCCACCAGTAAGAGTTTTACAGCATTTGCAAATACAAAAATAAAAAATAGGTTGTATCATTGCCGGACTTGTATAAACAGGATCCAGGTTTTCTTGAACAGGTGTCTAAGAAAGTTACTGAGGATCAGATAGACAGACAGGGTCACCAATGTGGAAGTGTAAGGAAAACGAGACAGATCCCAGTCAGAGATGAGGTAGGAAGAAGGCGGTGGCGATGGATTGGACATACTCTCAGGAAGTCAGGCAGCTGCATAACAAAGAAAGTGTTGGATTGGAACCCACAGGGCAATAGATCAAGGGGAAGACCTCGTGGAACTTGGAGAAGGATCACAGAAATCGATGTACAGAAAAGTGGGAAGACATGGAATGAGATCAAGAGGCTAGCCCAGGATAGACAAAGGTGGAGGGTGTTTGTCCGTGGCCTAAACCCTGGTGCAGGGTGAGAAAGGCAATGATGATGATGATCATTGCCGGACAATAGAGGTGTTACTACCGAGTAAAATAGAAGAAAGCAAGGAAGAAATGTATGGACGACAGATGTTTGATAGAAAAAAAGGAGTAAACCACTTACTAATAAGTGTTTAGTTTAAGTTTGATAAGAGTTTTACTCTGCTCGCAACTGTATAAGCTCATATGAGCATGCGAAACACAAGCTGGTTGTATTCACAACGGTTCATAGCACGGCTTGATTCTGATCAATATTCAGATTTAAAATGCTAAAAATTCATGGTAAAACAAACATATTTAAAACAATGGATACCGTGGCCTTTATAAAAATCGAGATTCTGTTGGGATCAACGACAGAGAACAGATCTTGCAATTTTTTTCATTTAAAGTATTTCCTTCGGGTCTATCCAAAGTCTGGACATTCTGTTAAGACGTGCCTAATGGTGAAATATGTGTCGCACCCGACACAGGATTGTTACTCATCTCCTCGAAGGAGGTACTGTATTTACGTGTCAGGGACGTGTGTCCGATACGTAATCAAGTAAAAATGACTTCGTCTCTTCTGTAGAGGCCCGAAGGTTTTCATTGACCCAGTTTGCGCATGATGTTGTGAAGTTTATTGTTTTCTTGTTTGTGATGTCAAGGAACATGACTCTTATCTTTACTGTGGGGACAAGATAATTAAGGGAGTTGCACGCCCTTGGATGATGTCAAGGGATCCGCGGGAAATAGGCGGAGATTGTCTGAGAGACTCACTGAGATATTCAGTCGGACTCAGGACCACGACAAGGCAACACTTATCTTGGACGGGGGCCCCCTGACAGACCCGACGCATCGGACCGCCAGGTAACTTTACACTTGTTTATTCCAATGTGTCTCCCACAGACTGGAGGGGGGCTCTCGTGGCCTAGAGGTTAAGGTGTTGGCCTCTCATTCAAAGGTCCTGGGTTCGAATCCGGGTAGCGACCAAAAAATTTTCTTCTCTAAAATTGTCTCCTTTCACCTCCTTTCCTGCTCTCTAGCAATGTTCAGTTGTCTGCTTTCATTTCCACTTTCTGCCCCCACCCCCTCACCTCCTTTGCTCCTGACTCTTTCTGCAGCCGTTCTACTGCTACTCCTTGGCTCCTCCTTACTGCTGTCTTTCTACCACACCCCTGATCTTCTGGTAGGAAAGATCTACTCCTAGCCTTCTCGGACAAGGGCGAAAAATCTCGGAGGGCCCGTGTGCAAGTTGCGCACGTTAAAGATCCCTTGATGGTCTAAAATCAATAAGAGTAGGCTTTGGCCGCCACCCGGGCAAAATTCAAAATTTCCTACCAACTGAAAATATTAGGTGTGTCCCGCGCGTTCATACGACCTTATGCAGTTGCGAGCGCCGTAAAACACTTTACAAAAACAAAAAAACCAGACTGGAGTAAGAGTTTTATAGCTCTCGCAACATAAATAGGTCATATAAGTACCAGAAATTAGAGGTGTCAATAGAGAGCAACAGACAAAGTAAAGACGATACATGTTTGTTTTGTCATTTAGTGCAGGGAAAATTAAGACAAACAGACAGAAACAACAGAGGGGAAAGTAAAGAAGTAGGACCTTCCAGTGGCACCCTCCAACCACCCACCGATACATGCTTTAAACGTTCGATAGGAAATCAGGAGTAAACCACACACACCAGAGCACCCACCAACCACATACAGTACTCACGGGCACAATGTATTAAAAAGTTATAAATGTGAAGTGTGTTGACAAAATGAGTTACTTCTCGGATTCAAGCCTTAAGAAAATAGATACATCACACTTATAGGTGAAGTTTTTACAATTTATAAGTATGAAATAATAAAAGACAGGTCATAGTTAAAGAAAACGGCGTCAATAGAAAATCTACAAATTTGACCTTAATGTCGATTTTTGGCCAATATCTCCCTTTGTCGATTGCGAAAAGTAACTCATTTTGTCAGCACGCCTCACAAATGCATTACAACCAGGGCTGACAGGGATACAATGTCCCATAAGTATAAGACAGACTCAGATACTTCAGTAAAAATTCTCCCCATGAAGGAATTGAACTCACGTCTTCTGCATGTGATGGCGAAGCATGTAACCACTACACTACACCACAGATTCCCGTACACATATATATGTGTGTGTGCCTTAAGAAAGGTACCAAAAGTTGGATTTTGACCATTTTGAGTTAAGGGTTGCACCTTATAGGAAATTCAATGCTGAATACAGGGGTATTTGATTTCTTAGGTATCTTAAGTAGTTTTTGAGATATTGCACGTTTTGCAAGGTAGGGTATAAAAATATAATTTTGGGGAAATGAGCTTAAGTTTAACAAACGTGAGAACACATACAAACTTTAACAAAACGGTTTTTTAAATGTATTTATTCGTGGAAAATTCATTTCCACTTTGGCATTCAGTTGACATCAATATCATGGAAGGAATTCAAGGGTAAAACATAGCAGGGAAGAGAAAACGTGCTTCAAGAATAGATTTTAACACCTTTTAAAAGCTGTTTTCATTATTTGTTTTTACTATACCATACCCTCAAAATGATCCTAAATAGAATATTTAGAAATCAAATAAATGAAAATCCATTGAGCACATTGTAAAAAAAAAAAAGGTGGATCTATCATTTTTTGGGTCAAAAATTTGATTTTTGTCACTATCACTACTATCAGCCTGTAGCTTGAAATGTTCTGGGGCAACTTATGGTACCTTTCTCTTGGTGCACACACACATGTACTCATGTGTTATGACGTGGTGGAATCACGTGCTCGTCAATTTGGATGGATATGGAGATATTGGTATCATCTTAAAGCCAGTCCATTTGCCTTGCTTTTGATTTAAAAAATATCCATTTATCTTGGATAGAAGTCAAGGTTGGCGATCGAAGGAGGTGCCTCTCCCTCCCTCTCTCTTTCTCATTTCCTTTCAATCTCTCTCTCTCTATCATTCTCTTTCACTCTCTCTCTAGCTCTCTCCTCTCCCAACCTTTTCCTTTCTGTCTTTATCTTTTTCTCTCACTCCCCCCCCCCCAAATCGCTGTCTCTCTCCCTTTCTCTCTCCTCTCCCCTCATTAAGGGCCCACTCACGCTGATTCAGCAGATTTATCTTGAGCTTGTGGCGGGGCGGCGGTCTGTGTGCTGTCCCACTGTGGGTCGTAGATACCTTCACCCGCCTCCCTCTTGTCTTCCTCGGCAGACAGTTGTTCCTGGAAAAGGGAAAAAGAGAGAGAGATTGCAAGATGATTTTACAGATTTGAAAGGCCTTTGGCCCATACAAAAACACATTACAACATAATAATATGATTTGACAAACTACATAATTTGGTGCAGCAGATCAATAATTTAGATAAATTGGGTAGAGGAGAGAGAAAGAGAGAGAGAGAGAGACAGAGACAGAGACAGAGACAGAGACAGAGACAGAGACAGAGAGAGAAGGAGGGAGAAAGAGATATATGTGAGTAATATGAGAGAGAAGTGGGGAGAGAGTGAGAGAAAGAGGGAGAGGAGAGAGAGGGAGGAAGAGAGGGAGGGGGAGGGAGAGGAGAGACAGAAGAAGAAAGCCAGGGATAGAGTGAAAGAGAGAGAAAGAGAAAGAAAGAGAGACAGAGAGAGACATAATATGCGTCTTGACATGGTGGAATCAGGCGCTCGTCAATTTTTGGGCATATGGAATTATTTGTCTCGTCTTACATAGTCTCTTCATTTGCCTTGCTTTTGATGAAAAAAAATAGAAGTCGAGATATTTGGGATTGAAGACGGTTGAGCGGCCTGGTTTCAGACGTAAAAAAAGCGAGAAAATGGCTGCCAAAGTATGCCGACTGCCATAACTAGAGAGTGTCCTTGGAAGCTGAAAGTTTACACTCTTTGCGTCTTTAAACAACCTTTTTCCGCAAAATCCACACAGAAATAATAATACGTTTTTAAATGAACCTAAAAGGTTTTGAATCATTAAAAAACATTCGGAAAAAATTCCCAAACCGGTGGAAAAACGCCGGATTCTTTAATTTGATTATTTTGAGAAGCGTCTCAGGATACACATCAACAACAACAGTCTCAGACAGGTACAAGAATTTAAGTACCTCGGAAGTATATTCATAGAGGATGGGCGACTGAACAGAGAAATTGTGAAACACGAGTACAAAAGACCAATAATGTTAGTTACCAGCTTACTCCACTACTGAAACATCAGAACATCCCCATGACAACAAAACTCAAAATGATCAACACCATATTCATCCCAACACTCACCTATCAATGCCAAACATGGACCACGAACAAGACATTAAAGCAAAGAATTACCACATGTGAAATGCGAAGCCTTAGAAAAGCAGTAAACAAGACCAGGCGAGACAAAATTAGAAACTCTGTAATCAGAGAAATGGTGGGCACAAATGATGTCATGCATCACATCCAACAAAAAAGAATCAAAAGGTTCGGACATCTCCTATGATTACAAAACACACCATCCAGCACAACGTGCCTACATCCAAAAATTCGATGGCAACAAGGCTAGAGGGCGACCGAGAATGACCTGGATAGATGGAGTCAGGGAAACATTAACCACTCACGGCATCCCCATGACCCAAGCTCTCTGGTTGGCGGCAGAGATACGTCTCTTTCTTCCCGCGACACCTTAGTGTGAGTGTGTGTAGTGTGTGTCCCCATGTGAGTGTGTGTGTGTGTGTGTGTGTGTCCCCGTGTGTGTGTGTGTGTGTGAGTGTGTGTGTTTGTGAGTGTGTGTATATGTGTG